CCCTCCCTCAAATACCATGACTCTCTCCATCCAGGAGAGGGACGTATCCAGCCTATTCAGGAAACAAAAACCACGCAAAGCAGCTGGACCTGACTCTATCTCTCCTAGCATCCTGAAGCACTGCGCAGATCAGCTGTCTCCTATGTTCACTGACATCTTCAACACCTCGCTGGAGACATGCCATGTGCCTGCCTGCTTCAAAACCTTCACCATCATCCCCGTCCCCAAAAAAACAAAGATTTCAGGCCTCAATGACTACAGACCTGTCGCCCTGACCTCCGTGGTGATGAAGGTATTTGAGCGCCTTGTCCTTGCCCACTTGAAAGCCATCTCAGACCCACACCTGGACCCACTGCAGTTTGCCTACAGAGCCAACAGGTCTGTCAACCTGGCTCTCCACTTCATCCTCCAGCACCTGGACTCCCCAGCGACCTATGCCAGGATCCTGTTTGTAGATTTTAGCTCTGCCTTCAACACCATCATCCCCCCAATACTACAGGACAAACTCTCCCAGCTGGGTGTGCCTGATCCCACCTGCAGATGGATCACTGACTTCCTATCTGACAGGAGGCAGCATGTGAGGCTGGGAAGCCACACCTCCAACAGCCGGACCATCAGCACCGGATCCCCCCAGGGCTGTGTTCTCTCCCCCCTACTCTTCTCCCTATTTTATTTTATTATTTATTATTATTATTATCTATTTTATTTTATTCTATATTTTTATTTCTACATTGTATGTCCTTTCTTTTTTCTCATAGAAGTGTTGTGCACCAAACACCAAAGCAAATTCCTTGTAGGTGAAAAACCTACTTGGCAATAAAACTTATTCTGATTCTGATATATGTATATATATACTAAGTACATGGGTAGGGGCTAAAAATGTAGATTTAATACTCATGGGCAGAGGGGGGATCAGGTAAGCCAGTTGTATCCAACTCATGGACCGACCTGTCAAGGTGAGCCTGCCTCTCACCCACTGATGGCGAGAATAGACAGATGGGAATAAGCTGTTCAGCAGTACTGGATGTTTACAACACCCACACTGTTGCAGCAAACAGGTTAGACCAGTTGGTTTGGTGAGTCTTTTGTCTCTTTCAGGGCTCAAAAATAAGATTGTTGCTTTCTCTTTCTAAGCATAAATACTGCAAACGGACTCAAACAGGCTCAGTCTCCTGCCTCCTGGTTGAAGGTAAGATTCTATGAAACACGATTTCATACACTTTGGAAAAAATCTTGATGTGCTCGATTTACCACAAGGTGGTTTTCAATCTAAATATAATTTGATAGAAAACATTCTGGTATCTTATATCTGCTTTATTCCATGGATATGCAGACGGTGATAAATTGGAATATTTAGCAGTATTGTTTCCTTTGATCTTTATCAAACTGGTAGAAAGAGCTAAAAATAACTTAGGTTTTTTGATTTTGTAGAAAAATGTCCAGTGAGTTTGATCAGATGTATTTTTTTTCTCTAGATTTTGGAGCACAACTGAATTAAAGAAAAAACAACACACTTTCACCAGAAGAAGGAAAATGATTTGAAGGTCTGTTCATTTCTACAAACATTTTTATTGGGAAAGTTTTCATTCCATTAGTCACAGATGAGCCTTTTGATAAAAAATTATCAAAAAAACCTTTGCCATAAAGTAACTTCAATAAATTATCAGAAAAATGTACCGTTTTACATTTAAAACATATAATCTAATTAATCACAAGGTTTCTTGAATTAATTTAGATTAATCACAATCCTAAATATTATTGAAAAATTCACATTTTCTGTGTACTGTTTTCAGAACAGAAAGGTAAATGACAAGTGGATATTACATTTAGCTTTTATTAATGACGAATCCAAAAAAATGATTTAATTCTCAACAATTTTGGCAACTTCGCCATTGCGGTTTTTTAAAAATATTTATTTTGAGCAAATACAGGATAGGTGAATGGACGTTTTTCATTTCAAACAATCAACTCCATGACACAAGGCGGAGCTCAGTGAGGACTCAGTCGCAGAGCGTAGTTTCAAAACAGAATTTATTATTAAAAAAAACGCACTCACAAGGAGTGGAAACAAAGTACAATGGAAATACTCCACACTGAGGGAACAAAGTAGAAAATCAAAATCACTCGCTGACGAGGAAAAAGCAGACAAGGAACAAAGTAACAAAACAACAATACTCACTAGGAGGAACAATCACTAGGAGGCTAGAACTGAAAAGGCACTCTAGAGTAGTGATGTGTTCCACCGTATCGAAGCGTGTGTCGAGAAATCCACGATGATTTCTGTGAAGCGCGTATCGAAGCTTGTGTCGATGGCGTACATGGTGACGTTTGAAGCCTCGCAAACCGGCCGTACCACGTGACTGATTCAGGAAGTGGTTCGCGGTTTGGCGGTCTATTTGAAATATAAGGGCCAGCAAAATGCAATGAATCCCCCCTCACATTTTGTGGACTTGGAACTTAATTGCGAGTTTGTGAGCGATCTATTCAAGCTTCCCTGTCATTGTATCATAAAGACAGACACCATCTAAAAGTTTATAATTCATGTATAAGCATCACAAACATCCATCCGTCCATTTTGGTAACCGCTGATCACCTGATGGGGTGGACGGGGGGGGACTGGAGCCTATCCCAGAAGCCAATGGGGAGAGGCTGGGTCAACCTGGACGGCAGCATCACAAAAATCATTGATTAATTCACTCAATGCTTCAGACACCAAAGCCAGTCTCATTATAACTACGTTTACATTTATTGTCCACTTGATGGCAAGGTCTATGGTTTCTATGATTTCGAGGGCTGCACAGTAGTCAAAGGACGGAACACACTGGCACAAGACAAGTGGAAACGAGGACTATTTAAACACATGAGGGAAGGGAACCCCAGGTGTACACAATAGGTGATCAGGGAGACAATTGGACCATTGACACAACAGAAAGTGCAAGTGACCTGAAACGAGATGAGGGTTATTCTTCAAAATGAAACAGAAAATGACGAGACCACACTGAGACGAGACAGAAAACCCCCAGCCAGGTACACCACCGTGACACTCCACTTTCAAACAATTACGTGTGGTCCTTTTAGCTTTTATTTATTCCTTTTTTTTTAACCAGTTGCTAAGGCAAACTAACAGGTAAAAATTGTCTGAATGTAAAGTGGACTGTTTCTTCTGAACAATACGGCCAGCGACTGAGAAGAGTAGTTGGCATGGAACTGCGGATGCAGGAGTCGCTAGATATTTGCGGGCAAGCAGGTCCAGCTTGTCATGTGCTCCTGAATGAGCAGCCCACCACGGGCAGTCCTCCATACTTATGCTTGGCTCTGCTCTGTACCTGTGTATGGGTTGTTCTGACTCCTCCATCTTGCTCATGTCAGACAATTGAATTGTGGTTAAAAAAGGGCGGGAAAATATTGCGTTAATTCCAAAAATATTTCACTGGTTTCAGGCTTTTTGATGAAGAGAGAAGTCAGACACTAAAGTCAGCCAATGGCTGCTGCGATGGATCCAAAAGTGGCCGAAGGTACATTCTGAGTCTTATATCAGACTATTATTCCTTATTAGTGTGAACAAACTCTTTTAAGACCTAAAAGCTTACTTCACCATTGCTTGGGATAAAACAAGAAAAAACAAGAGTGTGGTTGGGGTGATGGATTTTTCTTTCTGTATATAGGAAAGGGAAAGAATGGGATGTGCTTCTGGGGTTGCAAGTTGTCTAATGTTAGAATGGGTGGACAGGCCTGGTCTCACTAAGGTATCTCTCAGCATTTTTTCTCAGACTGTGGAAGCATTTTTCCAAATCCATTAGCTTGCTGGGCAGTCCACATGTGGTGAGCAAAATGTGTGACAAGTCATCTTCCACAGGTATGTCCTTGAAATTAAATGTATCCTAAATTTGATAAGACTTGAACGTGATCACTCATGGTTTAGAAGACTATAAAACACTGTTCCCTCTTTTTACAATGGGAGAATGGTGATGGGGATGTTTTTACCACAAAGATGGAGAAATGATTCCACCAGATTCAGGAGGGACAATGTTCATTCTGGTCGTGTAACACTGGACCAGGACGGATATTGGAGGATGCATCACAGTTTGCTGAAATGAATGTTTATGTTTTAAAAATGGGAGACATAACCCCCTTGGAACCCACTGCCCTATACCAAATGAACCCCTTGACTGATGATCTCCCTTCTGTTCCACGTATGAACTGACTAAACAAGGCCTATGATAAACAGGGCTAAAAGTATCAGTTCAGGATTTTCTTAGTTTTCCAAAGACAAAAGATTAAAAAAAAAAAGTTTTTTGCCGTTTCACAAAACAACACATCTTCAATGACACTTACAGTTCACCACGACTAGAATGTAGATGTCAATTTTTCATTCCCTTTTGATATAAAATCTCTCTTTCTCTTTGGTAGCTTTGTCGAAAACTCTCCATAAACTTGGACTAGAGGACTTCTACCCCAACAAGCTCACTTTCCGTTCTCTTTTGGAGATCAACAAAGAAAACATTGATGATAAACCTGTTTCATCACTGAACAAAGTACCACAGTGTTTTCTCAGAAAGCTTTTAAAAATCAATGCTGACTGCAGGGACTCTGCACAGTTACCAGTCAGCGAGGGAGAAAATGATGATCCTTTTGATCATGAATGGGATGATGAAGAAAATTCGGATACCAACATTAATCCACTTGACCTCATAGTGGCTCTCTTCCTGTGTGCTGACAATTTCCTACAACAACAAATGGCCTTAAAGATGTCAATGTGCCAGATTTCTGTGCCCCTGCTGCTTCCCTATGGCCATAAAAGTCAGAGCAGCCTGATGCTCTGGGCTCTGAGAGACATTGTTAAAGAGTGGTGTCCATCTGAGCAGTCTGAATCAAGAGGTTTTGTTGAGGATAGCATTGTCCAAGCAAACATCCCTCTCTTTTCTTTTGTCAGGCTGAAAAACTGCAGCCTGTCTAAGTCCCAGCTGTTGAATCATGTCCTTAGTCGTGGTCAGCAGAGTCAAAATATCTTCATGCACAGAAATCTGGAGGGAGGGTCTCTTAAAAAGGAAATTTCTAATGGACTGGTGGAGGTCTGCTGGTATCTTCCCTGTGGAAGAGATAACCTTGATATTTTCCCAGAACCAGTGGCATTTGCCAATTTACGAGGAGGCATTTGTGAGTCAGAGGCACAATTCAACTTTCTTCTTCAAGTGTCCTCTGCTACCTTTGTGCTCCTGGACAAAGTCGAAGAAAATGAACAGGAGATGCTGACTTCTCTACAAGGCGTAAGATCTAAACTCTTCCCCATTGTTTACCGCAAAGATCGAAGTGCAAGTGAGGACATGAGCTCTGTCAAAGAAATGCTTGAGAAATTAGATTTACCAAACAGCAGCGTTAAAACAACAAAATCCAGGGGAAATGTAGCAGAATTTGCAAAGAAGCTTTGTGCTGTCATCAAGACTTCCCTGAGAAGTGGAACAACAACATGTAACATTGAGAACATGCAGGACAAAGCTGCTGAACTTGGTTTGTCTGTGGATGAATGCAAAAGTGACAAACAGAAGAAGATAGCAGAGAACATCTTAGGAGGAACTGAAATGAGGTCTATATCAGACTACAAGAAACAGGAACTTCCCCTGCAGGGTGAGAACTGGAAAAGGTTGGCAAAATTACAAAAAGAGATATGCAGACTGACAGGATCTGGTGATTTAGGACTAGAAGATTATAAATCCAAACGTGAGGAAGAAGTGAAAAAAATCCTAACGGAGCAGAAAAACCATAACATCTCCACAGAGATGAAAACTTTCATCAATAATCTGTCTGGAAGTGAGAAAGAACAAAGGGACTTTTTCCTGAAGTGGATGAAACTCATGCTTGATACAAATTCTAGGAAAAAACTGTCCACTCTGAGAAACCAGTTCAAAGAGCAGTGCAAGAGCAAAGATGCTAAACGAGTTGCAGAGTTAGATCAAGCTCTGGTGCACAGCTCTTTGGGAATAGAGCATTACATGAGAGAGATGGGACTGATCTATGAGTTTTCCTCCCAGTCAGAGAACACCACTGATGACAGATCTGCTCTTCCCACTCTGGCTGCAGAAATGCTGCTGGATGGATATCCTTTAGAGATCCTGGATGGAGACGCCTCCAACATCCCACAAAGATGGGTGTCAGCTGTGCTGATGGAGCTTCATCAGAAGGTTGGGGGAAGGAGCCGCTTGTTGGTTCTGACTGTTTTAGGTGTTCAGAGTTCAGGGAAGTCCACACTCCTGAACACCATGTTTGGTGTGCAGTTTTCTGTGAGCAGCGGCAGATGCACAAGAGGAGCCTACATGGTCTTCCTTAAAGTTGGAGACAACTTCAAAACGGAGCTGAATTATGACTTTCTAGTTCTCATAGACACAGAGGGTTTAAAGTCTCCTGACTTGGCACAACTTGATGACAGTTATGAGCACGACAACCAGCTGGCAACATTTGTCATCGGTTTAAGTGACGTCACAATCATCAACATAGCAATGGAGAACTCAACAGAGATGAAAGATGTTCTGCAAATCGCTGCTCATGCATTCTTAAGAATGAAAACTGTTGGGAAAAAGCCAGTTTGTCATTTTGTACACCAAAATGTTGGAGGAGTTTCAGCTCATTCCAAGTGCATGGGAGAAAGGAAACAGCTCCTGGAACAACTCAATGAAATGACGCAAATTGCAGCCGATATGGAAAAACTACCGTCAATGAAAGCTTTCACTGATGTGCTGGACTATGATGTTGACAAAAACAACTGGTACATCCCAGGACTCTGGAATGGAACTCCTCCAATGGCCCCAGTGAACATCGGATACAGTGAGGCTGTGGCAGACTTCAAGAAACATCTGTTAGAAACAACCAAAAATGAAGATGAATCTATGCAGATCCCAGAGTTTGTTGAATGGATGAAAAGTCTGTGGAACGCAGTCAAATACGAGAACTTCATCTTCAGTTTCAGAAACTCACTTGTGGCTCATGCCTATGATGATCTTTGCAAAGAGTTCAACCAATGGGAGTGGGAGTTCAGAAAGGAAATCCTTTCATGGCAGAAAGAGGCAGAGTTGGAGATCTTAAATGCTGACGATGCTCAAATGCAAAACAAAAACAGCCTGCTGGGAAAAAAGAAAGATGAGGTGAATCAGAAAGTAACTAATGAGCAAAAAAAAATGACGGAAAAAATCAGCTGCTACTATGAAAGAAAAGACAGACATGTGAATCTGATAGAGAAATACAAAGCTGAGTTCCTCAACAGTGTCAGAAGCCTTGCAAATGAAATTCAATGTTCTGTAAACTCTAAACTGGACGTCATCATGGAGTTAAAGATAAATAGAAAAAAAGCTGAAGACCTACAGAACACATCCAGAATTGTTATTGAGGAGAAGGTCATGAAGCTCCTGGGTGAGTGCAAAGGTACCACTTTGTCTGACAATCAGCTGAGTCGTCAGTTTGAAAACATGTGGAAAAAAGCAACAGCAGATATAGCAGGATTACCAGAGCGAGATATAGCAAGATGTGTCCTGAGACAGTTAAGAAAAAACTTCTCAAACCAAAATGTCAACAAGGAACTGCATAACATTGAGTTAATGGAAGCTGGAAGAGCTCAATTCAAAGTCATTTATGAACATGTAGATGGCTTTTTCGGAAGGCTCAAGACTTTTTTTGTCAGTAGTTTTCAAACCTTTGCAGACAGAGCGATAGAGTCCTGCACACGGTTTGTACAGGATAAAGCACAGACAAATGAGGACTACCATGATTCTTTAACAAAGGATTTTTTAAACAAAATAGATGAGTTCCTTACAGAAAGTAACAAAGAATTCAAGACAAATCAAATCTTTGAAATTGATTTGAAACTTCATCTTTGTGGCATTGCTTCCAGGGAATTCATGAAAATGCACCGAAGGTTCCTCACAAAAAATGACCCCCGACTTCAGCTGGAGAAATACAAGACTCAGTATCTGTCAGACTTTCTTGATTTGTACAAAGAGAGAGATGACTGTCAACGCAAAGCAGAAAACTTTGCTCAGCTCTGTCTCAAACCTGCTGTGGAGGATTTCATTTTCAGGTGTCTGGGAATAGACATTGTGGAGGAAATTCTCACCAGATCCCATTCAGCAGAGTACAGTTCCCGCTCTTTCTTTCAGTACAGCATTCAGGAAGAGTTGCTTCGGAAGGACGACTTTCAGAGTTTTGTTAAGTACATTTCTAACTATGAAGTTTATGTGAAGGACTGGATATTTCAGAAGATTCTGCTAAAAATGTCAGAGAATCAAACACTGAGCAAACTGAAGAAAAAGAACCTCCGGATCATAGTTACAAAGATCACAGACGCAATGGAAAAAGCATCAAGAGGAGAAGATGGTGTTTTACTGCCAGATGACAAAGAAAGCATCACAAAGTTCATCAATAACATGAGACAATATCTGATCAAAGACCTGTCCATATCAAAGGAGGCTGAAAAAAGCACCCTGTTTCAAATACAAAGCACCAGCAAACCATTCATTGACAGTCTCAAGAATTCAGTAGAGGACTTGAAAAAAGAACTTGATGATAAATTCTCCACATCTGAAGCCATCAGTCAGACTCTGCGTGTTCTTCCAGTGAAACCACAGGATGAGCTTTTCAAACGGGTCTTTGGATGTGGCAAACTGTGTCCATTCTGTAAAACTCCCTGTGAGGCTGGTGGCAAAGAACACAAAGTCCACTGGGCTAATGTGCATCGACCACAAGGTCTTGGAAGATTTAGATATGAAAGCAGTAGTAAACTGGTGGAAACTCTCTGTACAACTGATGTGCAGAGTGAATGTACATTCAGGAACACTGAAACTGAAGGGAAGGGGCATCCATACAAAGATTACACCAAGTATTATCCAGACTGGAAAATTCCTCCTGACTGTACCATAGAAGCGTCAGACTACTGGAAGTTCATTCTGGTCAAATATAATGATAAGTTTGCTGAAGAATATAAAGCAAAGCCAGCCGATGTTCCACAGGCCTGGAAGAAAATAAAAAAAGAAGATGCTCTGAAAGGGTTAAAGGATGCTTTTAACGTGAAGTGAAGACAGTCCTTGTAAATATCTTTAAAAAACAGGGTCACTATAAGGGAGCAGTCCGTGAGGCACACAGATTACATGCAAGTCTGCGGTTATCATGTTTTTTATTATTTGAATTTATTCCTATGAACAAGAAAACATACTGTGGCCGACCTTGTGATTAACAAGTTTTTTTTTCTTTGAATCCATATAACTTATATCTTTCAAACTGTTTTCTGCTTTAATTTGATCGTTTTTGTTAGTATCAAACACATTTTTTTCTGCCAATGAAACCATGTGAGTCCAGAGAGATAACATGACAGAAATTTTAAACAAGTCTGTGGTTCAATGTTTTTTTTAGTTGAATTTTTCCATATAAAAAGGAAAACATACTTTTGCCAACATTATGATTAACATGAATAAATCTTCTTCTAAGACATATATCTTTGTTCTTTCTAACCTTTTTTGCCTTAAATTGATCATTTTTGTTAGGATCACTGATTTTTCTGCCAATGAAACCATGTAATACCAGAAAGATAACATGACAGAAATTTAAATATGCTAATGTTGGTTTTCTTTCCATTTTCTAGTTTTATTTTGAATATTCATAGTGTTTGTATACATACATGTGACACATATAGCTGAATATGCTCTTTTCAAATAATTTAGATATTTTTTCTTTATTTCTTTTGTCGATGGATGTTAGTGTAAAGCCAAAAGATATATGTGTGTGTTGTTAAAAATGTTCTTCAATAAATACATTAAATGTGTGTTCTTGTCCTTAATATAAATTTACAAGCACATTTGATGTCTGAATGTTGGATATATATATAAATTAACTTTTTGGTCATAGTACTACCTTTAATTTCAATATCTAGAGGTTGTTTCTAATTTCCTAAAGAGATCTAAACGTTACTGATTCCAACCTCAAAAATCAGAGTTGGGACACAACAATATTCGTCATAAGGCTAGTTAAATATTCTTTTCACAGGCAATGTTATGTATTGGGTGAGGACTTGGGTGAGGATCCAAAAGCAAGAAGGACTGCAGGATAAAAGAATCGAAGGGATCAATTGAGGAAGAGGGAGAGTGGAGGTACCACTGAGAGGTAAAAATCTGGGTTTGGAATCCAGGAGGCTGCAGGTATTTAACAGGGACCTGACTGAAGATGTTCTGCAGGTGCGATGCTGTGCAGACTTTCACACTGACCCGCTCAGCCTGAATCCACCAGCCAGCAGCCAGAGACAGAAAAGAACCAACAAAAAGCATAAACACCAGGCAGCATTTTGCACAGGTGTCATCACAGGATTTTAGTGTTCACTGCAATCAGAGCATTGATTTAACATAAATTATTTATTTTATATGGACCTAAATGTCTATAATTCAAGTCCACAAACTTCCCAGCAAAAAAATTCAGAATAATTAGACTTTGACCACAAAAAAAAGCCAAATGCTTCCATCCAGTGGATTCTTTGAAGAAGAGCATTCATGTCAGATGTTAAACTGTCTTCATTTTAGGCTTTTATTAGATTTCTTTTTCAGTCAGGACAGATTGTAATGACAAACATTCAGCATTGAAGATTCAGACACAAAGGTTACAGGTTGGTTTGCTGGAAGGATTTTGATAAGCAGCACAACTGAACCAAATTTTTTTAAATAGAAATAGAACACACTTTCACATAAAGAAGGAAATTACTTAAATATGTGTTCACTTCTGCAATAATTTTTATTGGGAAAGTATTTATTTCATTGCTCACAGATGAGCATTTTGGTCTAAAGTGACCATAAAGCTGGTAATATTTTTTATATTAACTTTGACATCAAACCTAAACAGGTGTATTCATCTTGCCATAAAGTTATTTCCGTAAATCATCTGAAAAATGTTCTGTTTTACATTGAAAAAGTTCACTGCAATCAGAGCATTGATTTAACATAAATGATTTATCTTATATGAACCTAAATGTGTCTTTATTTCAAGTCCACAAACTTCCTAGCAAAATAAATCCAGACTAACTAAACATTGAACAGGAAAATAGCCAAATGCTGCCATCTAGTGGATTCTTTGAAAAGGAGCATTCATGTCAGATGTGTGACATGAATGTGTGTTCACTTCTACTATCACTTTTATTGGGAAATTCTTAATGCTATTTGTCACAGATGAGCCTTTTGGTCAAAACTGAACAAAAACCTGGTAATTAAAAAAAAAAAAAGCTTTGACATCAAATCCAAACAGGAGTGGCACGGCGTTGTGGTGGTTAGCCCCAACACCGTCGCCTCACAACAAGAAGGTTCTGGGTTTGAATCCCCGGGGGAACCAGGACCTTTCTGGGTGGAGTTTGCATGTTCTCCCTGTGTCTGTGGGTTTTTTACTCCCACAGTCCAAAAACTTGCATGTTAGGTTGATTGGACATTCCAAATTTCCCTTAGGAGTGAGTGTGAGTTTGTGTGGTTGTCCTTGTATGTCTTGTGTGTCGCCCCGTGATGGACTAGTGGACTGTGCAGGGTGTACCCCTGGACTTTGAGGGTAGCCTCCTTCTCAGCGTAGATTTCCTTTGACAGTTTCCTCTATTTGAGGGTTGCCTCCCTTAGAGGATCGCCTCCCTTTGCGGGTAGCCTCCATTCTGGGGTAGGCTCCCTCTGGGGTAGCCTCCCTTTGCTGGCAGCCTCACTTTGAGTTTAGCTTCCACTTGCCTTCGGTCAGGGGGACGGGTGCTGACGGTTGGTTGTGCCTTTACACCTATCAGCAGTTCAGACTACCCACCTTTTATGGAGCCATTTAGAGGGTTCTGGAGAGCCCCCCTCCTAGGGACCCACTAATTCTGCTGGGGGACCTCCGTGCTCACATTGGCAATGACAGTGAGACCTGGAAGGGTGCGGTTGGAAGGAATGCCGCCCCAGCTTGAACACGAGCCCTGTTTTGTTGTTGGACTTCTGTGCTCATCATGGACTGTCCTTGTTCAAGCATAAGAGCCATTTGAGCTCATGGCACCAGGACACCCTAGGCTGCAGCTCAATAATTGACTTTGTTGTCGTGTCATCTGATCTGTGGCCACATGTCTTGGACACTCGGGTGAAGAGGGGGGCGGAGTGCAATCAGTGCACCTGATATGATGTGAAAATGACATCAGACATTTGCCACAGAGGCCCAAGATGGGCATATTTTCAGAGAATTGGTATTAAAATATTGGTCCTTGGTGGCTAAAGGAGTTAGCTCAAGATTCCTCAAGAGTTGCTCAAGATTCTGGATGTTGCAGGGTTTTTTATCGTCACTACAGCTAAACCGTTAGTAACATAAATTGGAAATATTTATGGAAGACAGAATTCTGTCCAGAACGTCCATTCATTTTGGGGGTTTTAGAGTGACCAAAATGATTCAATGAAGACCATTTAGAAAGTGACACATTCAGCTTTTAATGTATATTACAGCTTTCAAACTAATTTACATTTGAATAATTTCTGGTTTTATTCAATGACACATGCAGAAAATATAATCAGTGTATGTAATAAGTGTCCTTCCAACTTTCATAGTGAGTTAAGGGAAGACCTTCTTCTTTAGGGAGGCTCCTGAAAGCCTCGTCCGACAGCAAAGATTGTACATGAGGACTGGTCTGATTGTCTGATCTCTGATCCCATAGATGAGTGCACTCAGACATCTGGGAAGAATAATCAATGACACATAAAATAAATTCTGGATGCGCAAAAGCACACCTTTGAAAACAAGCCTTGAAACAGCATATAGCAGCGGGTTGTGAATGGTTGAGGAGATGATGAGGCCCAGCTGTAGCAGATGCATCAGCAGAGTGTTACGAGCCTTAAGAGCTGATGCTTTGTCAGTCGAGGCCGACCTGGCTGCTAGAATTACAACAAAATAGGTAGAGCTGATGGCCAGAGCAGCAGAAACAAACAGAAAATAGGTGTAGGCTGCCTCATAATCATAATAAAGGGGTGACAGAGACATGATAGCTGTGTTACAGAAAGTGTTCATTTGCAAATTTTCTAGCTTATCAAAGGGAAATTCTAACAGCAAAACTATCTGAATGAAGACATTTACCAGACAGATGGCCCAAACCAGCATTACGGCCACTGCTGTGTTTCTGATGGTGACGATGGCAGCGTGTCTCAGAGGGTAGCACACTGCCACACATCTCTCCAAAGACATCACCACCAGCACCAGAGGAGACACTGGGTTTGTGAGGTTACCCAGCATGAAGAAGAAGCCACACACAGGATACGTCAGAAATATCCTGCCGATAGACAGTATGTAAAGTAACTGACTCAGAGTCAGCTGGACGGTGTCTGCAAACAGGAGGTTATACAGGAGAATGTAGCGGCAGGTTTCCCTGAACACGGGTTTGCTCCTCAGAGTGTACAACATGGTCCCGTTAATGAAGAGGAACACACAGCATGTGGCTGTAGTCAGAGTGGTGTACAT